AGACAGTCCAGTGGAACACTAGCAGGTTCGCAACTTGTAGGTGTTGGTGAACTATATGTTCATTGGCGTACTCCATCCCCCGCATGGTTGCCTTTAGGACATGTATCGGTGAGGAGCCCCCTTAGCAGTAGTGTCCATCCCGATGATATTCCGTAGGCTAGGTCCGTTGTGATAGGTGTTTAGGGACGTAAAGTGAGGATAACGGGATTGGTGATCAGGGTTATTGTTGATTGATGAACTTAATAAGTTTATTATTATTGTGGGTTGAAAACCCTATATGCTCACCAGGCTCCCAAGCCTGACCCACTCAGCTTTTTATTATTACAGGTAGTGGACCCCGAGCATAGTTGGATGATGATGAGGGATTTTTGGACTATAGGCCAGTAGTTGTAAATAACTGTTGTAAGGCTTATAAAGTCTTGTTTATGCTTTTGATCTGTATCGGAAAATGACATCCCGAGGTTTTGATATAAAAGGAAAATATATACTTTCTTAAAGAAAGGTTTTGATAAACTTTTATCATGTTTTGTTTTGGGGACCAATTCCGCAACATCTTTTAAAAGGATTTCTCTGACTTTATTTTAAAAGCATAAATTAAATCGATCTTTTCTGGCCGAGAAATTAGGGGATGTCACACATACCGTGAGTTATTAGCGGTTAGTGTAAGGTCGTTTCTTTTTTTGCTGGTTCGGGGTGTTCAGTGTTCTTTCGATTCGTAGTAGAGATCGGACAGGGGGATTATGTAAATGTCTGTGGTCAGTGTCAGCAGGATGGTTATTCAGCATCGTTAGGAATCAGTGTTTTAGTAGTTGAACTTGGAGTGACTATTGGGAGCACCAAGGGAAGTGGCTTGTTGTTGGGGTATTGGTTGGTGCATCTGTTGTTGAGCTTCAAGATTTGACTGCGGTATCATTTCAAGCATCAGGGGCTGACGGTTACGTTGGGATTCAGGAAGTGTCATTTGGTCTTTAGAAGTTGTGTGGACTTTTGGGGTTCATCTAGTGATGGAGCACTAGCATTGGTAAGCGTTGGTGGCCATCGGATCGACTGTTAGAAAGAAAAGGGGGATTGGGAATCCTTCAGTTCCTATGTGTTGTGAAGACGTAGTCGAATCTAAGTGGGGGAGAATCGATCAAGTATTCAAGAGCAAAGGTAGGAGTGAATCTAGGATGAGTTCGTATCCCCTTTAGGGAGGAAGGCGGTCGAGTGGCCGTCTAGGTTGAGGATTGTGTAAGTGGGGAGTTCGGAAGACATTCCAACATTTGGTTCGTGTTTTTCCTTGGCATCGGATAGCAGGTTTCGGGGAGCAGGTTAGAGATCTAGTTAGGACTCAAGTTCAGTTGAGTGTTAGGTCGAGTGCATTTTCGATCCGGTAGGGAAAGTGTTGTAAGACTGCGGGGGTAGCCGTAGCATTCACAAGCGGTCAGATAGTATGGACGGTGTTGTAAGACTACGGGGGTAGTCGTAGCATTCACAAGCGGTCAGATAGTATGGACAGTGTTGTAAGACTGCGGGG